TTCGTCAGCGCTATGAAACCGATGAGATACGCAAAGGAGTTTTTGCCTATTTTCATGTTTGTTATCACATAAATGACCACATCGTGCTGGTGAACCCCACCACTTTTCCGTCCTTGAATAATTGTGTTCATAACTTGCTGATTAATGGCCGGCGAAGTGAAATGTCCTTGCGGTAGAAATTTGTACTGGTATGGTCAGAACAGAGGGAAGATAGAAAGGTATTAGTATTGTCACATTGTCAGCATTTGCGAATCAGCAGGACTAGCCACGTCTACTATCCATTTGTATGTGAACCGGCTTACTGCACGTGTACCCTTGGAATTCCAATGCCTACTTGTGTGGTGGGACGGTAGTTAGTCACAACATGCGCAACTTCCAGCGAACAGTTTTTCGCTCTCGTCCAAATTGCCGACGTTTACCGAGACAATGGAATCTAACTGAACACAGAGGCATTGAGTTTCCCGATACAGTAGCTGCGAGGACATGTTGAGGCTGCTCACGATGAGCGTGAACCGACTGAAAATTAGTCACAAAGTGGAAAGGGTTGTCGCTGAGGGAATATGTCGTTAAACGTGATGATGTACCGATCTCAGCTGCGTAGCTGGGTGGCCATCGAGTTTGCATTTGGCAGTTGGCATATATATACGTATATATTGATTTGGATAACGTACCAGTTTAGCACGTTTGACTGCTGTCCGGGCCTGTAAATTAGTTACCAAGTCACATTTATGCAAAGACGTAAAACAGTCTTGGGTTTTAAGCGACGTACCATGAATCTAGGATGAAAGAATGGAAAACCGAGTAAAAGCCAGTATTTGATACAGTCGCATCATAACCAACCATTAAGAAGGAACTTTCTCCAGCAAACCAAGTCGATGCAAACGCGAAGATTATTCGGAGTTTGGACGCCCTTTATTTCCGATCCGTTGATCTCCATTCGCATTTATATAAGTATATGGCGTCTTCATTTGGCCTTCATGCTCACCTAAATTGGGAGAAACTGGTTGGTCCATCCCAAGCACACTTCGGACATGGGACCACATAAATGATTCGCGAAGACAGGATATTTCCTCATCAGGAAGATAAGGGGAAACTACATTTGCAATGGAAAGTTGTGTTCTGGTAATAATATAAATGATTTATGCTACTTTGACTGGAACTAATTTGTATATCGAAGTCCACCATGGACCACCAGTTCATCAGGATATCATGAAGGAAACATACGGAATGGTAGTCAGACGACCCTGAGTGTTTTCCGAACGAACGTTGCTGTTCAGTACTGGCGTGTAAAAACTTAAAATGCCTTATCAGGATACTTCGTGCCACTCAAGGCTTTCGGAGAAACGACCACGTTAGAAGTAATCAGCGGGAGTCCGCAGCTCAGAAATTAGTGGGGATGCTTTTTTCTGATATGAATCGAAGCAAAGTGACAATGTGATTACCGTATCAGCAGCGGGGACATTTGTAAGGATGGGTTTGTTATGATACGCAGAATGCCGGGACACTATATAAAATATTATTCTTTGTAGATTCAAACGACGCTGCTGGTTAGTTCATGCGATACAATTCATTATAGTGTGAACATACAACTCCAGTAGAATATGGTGTCACCAGATGACTCGCATAGTCGTAAGAAGATTTTCATTAAACGTTGTTGCCAAACGTCAGTTGCCAAACTCGGCGAAGAGATCAACAGCCACCTGATCAATAACCAATAAAAAACCTATATGCAGTGAATATAGAGGTAGCTTCCTCAAAGACTTGGTCCTTTGTGGTAGTTACGATTCGGTTCTTGTCCATTTGGTGGTTTAAAGACATCACGTAGGCACCTGAATCACAGAAACACATTTCTGCCAACGGTAACTCCGTTGTGGAAAAACCTACCCAGACCAACCGAGTTAAAAGGGTTGTTTTGGAGGGCTTAATATTAGGGTGTGTCGCTTTCCTGAAAATGACTGAGGAAAACTTCAGGACCTTTTTTATGGGAGCATATAGAAAATCAGTTGTCCTTCCCAGGTTTCTTAAATGGGATAGGGGATGTTCAGTGAACTGGCTGTATTTGTCGGTTTTGAGCAGTACGGATTATTTTCTATAAAATGGGCTCCAGGTTAGTCATCCTGTGTGCGTCTAGGTGATAGTTGTTTATCCAAGGCAAACTGACGGACAATGTGATTCCAGTTTAAAACCCCCTGATGTTTCAAGTCTAGTCTCTAATATTAAAGTTGTGTCCGTTAACGGTAGTGCGTTCATTCCATAGCTTTCACTAGGGCGTAGCTGACATTAAGGATGTGAAATTTACTTTGATTCGAGCAGGTGTATGAAGCATGTTAATTCGGACATGGTTGTCCGATAGCAAAATGTTTTGAAACTACTCATCAACTTTAGTAGCAATGCCGAAACCAAAAGAGTAGGGAAACTTGAGAAAGACAAGAGAATTTCGGTCCAAGCTAGCGGAGTTATGGTACATTGATTCCAAAATCTTCCGTTCAATATTTGATCCAATGCATTCTGAAAAGCCAAGGAGGACTGTACAGCTCTTTCATCCTTGTTGGGAATCATCAGCAGTGCGCAACTCGGAAAAGTCCAAGAAATTGTGAACGCCAGTCTTCCGGCCAAAGTTAGGACACCCAATCTTTCGGCTATAAGTGGCTGAACGCCAATAAAACTGAGTATCTTCGCTTTTTGTTTTTAGAACTAAATAACTGTTTTTTTCTCTGATCACACGTAGCGGATGTGGAGTAACTATGTTGACAAATATGAATTGTGTGTATTCAAGAAGCCTCTTCGGAAGTGACACCTCGCATGTGGAAACATTATGTTTCTCATAATCGGGTTGCATTTCATCTTCTCTCTGCTGATATCCGGGTGTACTGAGGTGTTTAATTTCCTGCTTTTATTTTTCTGCATGTCCCGTAGTGAAAACCCTCTAATGGGTTTGTTCAAGGTATCACAAACACATACAATTTGTTGAATCTTGTTGTAATTATCCTGAACGGGTAAATTTCAAGCTGATGTTATTTTAATTGCTCAGCGAATTATTAATTCTCATATACATCCTTCACATGGTTTATTAATCTTTTCAGCATTGAAGATGTAGCAAGAACCGCTGATTTGTAGAATCGAAAGAAACCCATCGATTTTGTGTCTGCCAACTGGATGCGATGGTCTATGAGCGCCCAATATATGGTTGCTGACGGGAGATCTCGGCTGCCTAAAGCTTCGTATGTCCATTCAAAGGAGCCTTTCCTCTTGGAGAGTTCATTTGTTGGGGAACTACTACAGTTTGAGTTCCCTGTACCAATGTGTTGTAGTAGGTCGGTTCTAATAAAAGCTCTTAACTTGTAAAGCTTACCTGGATGTTGGTGGCTTTTAATGGTTAGTTAACCCGAACAGTCGTAACTTTTAGTTTTAATAATATTACTTTTCAGTATGAATAAATATCATACAAGACCGACTTAAAATCAGATGGACTCCCTTCCGCCAGTACTCACCTTTGTTCTTTCGGCGGAGAGATATGCGTAGCGCACTTTGCTGCTAAGGAAAGTCAGTCACTCGGTCTTCCGCCTAGGCACGGGTACCCAGGGGCTGAACCAGTGGCGATAGAAAGATCAAATTCGAACTCAAACCATCACTTAAGGCGCTCGCCCAGTAAAAGAGGTCCGAATTGACTGGAACTTTTGAGGGAAGTAATCAACAGGATGCGGTTTCTGATAAAAAAAATCCACTCACTCTTACTACGAATTAGAAAAAGATCTAGAAGATTGCATCATTTTGAATGCAGATAAATAATACTGTCCATCCATTAGTATCAGTGAGGAACGACGAAATCCGAACCACGGCTGATTTAGTCCGGAGTAGTATTAACGCATTCATTTGTGCGACAAATTTATCGTGAAAATTTCGTCCTTGCGCGCAGCACACAACCGGCCATGATGCCCATAAAGTCAAGATTATAACTCTGGTTAGTGACTGACTGTTTTGCTACCTGATAATTTCCAAAACACAGATGAGAAATATGGTGCGGAACCTAATACCACTACAATCCCCATGAAGGATGCAACTTTAAAAAACAGTTTTTGATACTACAAGGGGAAATATAGTGTCGATGCCATTTGAAATCCACACACTCGACAATTCTGGCTGTCAACGGAAAAGACTGTGTTCATTAGAATATCTCGTAACAACAAAGGCTCTTTTGTATTTGACTTGCCCCAGCTTTCCTATGGAAGTTGCCGCTTGTAGACAAGTTGGTCTCAGAGGATACCAGTCCTCAAAAGAACAACTGGAGGATACCTCTCAACTAAAAACGATCAATTTCTAGTCAAATTTTCATCAAAGTGTCTCGGAAAAAGATAAAAGGGTCGTCTGATTCGCACCTTTGTAAGTAACTAGGTTTTCAGGCTTTCGTGAAAGGTATGCCAGCAGCTAGAGTTACTATGAAAAGCTACTCTGTGGAACAGGACCAAGGGGTTCTGAAAAACAAGGGATGGTTTCACGGGGAAAGACTCAGCGTAAAATATTCCTTCGTCTGTTACCCTTGTACGAGTAGCCGTTGCCAGCTCTATCAAACAGTTGTTTTATTGTATGATGCACTCACAAAAAGAACTAATTTTTCTTATTCACGATTTCGTTGCACCACAAGATCGCGATGATCACGGTCTGTGGACCTATGATAAGTAAATATTGCTACAGCTTCTGAACTAAACGGTACGAAACACGACGGTCACCACTGAAACTCAAATTGTGGCTGCATAAAACTTATGGAACAAAAGTAAACTGCCTTTGTGTGGAGGCATTTTCATCACAGTTCATCCGTCAATATGGTGAACTCGCATATATTTTATCGGAAATTTCAAAGTAGCAGAGGTTCAGAAACTCACATCACATCAACCAGGAAACCTACAACGTAACGCAGACATTGTACCACTTAAAAACAAGTGAAGAAAAAGATCGCGAGAGAGAAATTTAGCTGGGATTTACGTCATCCTACCATGAAAGCCTAATTGGTATGCAAATGAGTGTAACTGTCGTGTTTCGTGCAATTTGGATTCAAGTAGTACAGAAGGTTGATGGAAACTTGGAGAATGCGCTTATCTGATGATCCCCAAGAATAGTTAAACCGGTCGCGGACTATCGAAAAGTTTTCAGAAACCTTGTGAGTAGTTTATTTGAAGGAAAGATGCTGGGCCTCTGAGAAATTTAGATAGACACAGCCATGTAGGTTGTTAATTTTCAGACGGTTCAGTTGTTTAAACTGCAACGAATCTGATACCATAGCGCACGACTGTTTAAAAGTTAAGGCTGAAATGAGTTTAAATTAGTACTTCTGGATTAACAGCAACGCAAACCAGAAGTTTACGAAAATGAAGAAAAAATTAGGTCTTATGAAGTGACGTGTTGGTACGTAACATGAGGTAGCATGAGGTCCAACTGAACTTGAGCATATTAATACCTGAAGAGTGTGGCACTCTAAAAGACAATCTCTTGTGTAGATCTGTGAGCAACTTGGCCATCGAACAAAGGGCTCACGGTGTTTATCAGTGTTTTGTCCGACTTCTTATTGGAGTGAAATAATCTTTCTAGAAAGACCAGCCTGGCTCAGTTGAAAACGCATACTAATCCAACAAAATGTGTCACTACCCGGTGAACAAATTACCTTTCAACTCAGATTTGTAGTGACACTTCTGTTGGTTAGTAGAATTTTTGACGAAAGGCAAACCTTGTCAGTCAAGGTACCTAAATGTTAGCGCACCCTCGCTAAGAAAACCTGCCAAAATAGCCTGCGTGCAACACTAATTTGTGGACAAATCACAGTGAAACGAAGTTCGTTTTTTCTGCTTCGGTTGGGTGCATCTTGGCGCACCCGTCGACATGTAACTCATCATAGTACTTCTGATGAATTATTCGTTGTCTAGGGCTAACAAATAAAAAGCTAACTGCCAACACATTTTATTCGGTGACCGATTCAGATATGGTCTTTAGGGTTCTTTAGCTGCAATTACGCTGCACCACTAACCGATCCGTCTAACACACATATAATTTCTGCTTTAGATGTCATTCGTGATCACTAGTTATCAGAAGAGACAACCCGGAAGGTCCCAGCAAATTCTTCTACCAGGCTTCCTGGAAACAGTAATAGGGTTTTGGAGGCTATATTCACTGCTGCCAAACCTACACTTTGTTTTACTGCATAGTCTTCCGCTGCTGATTATTTCTTGACTGGAAACTTGGAAATGAAGATCCAAATACAATTAGCACAAAGTAAATGACACACCCAGGTACGAATAGAATCACTGACAACTTGTTTGTCGGCCTTACGCCCTGATGCCTGAGCTAATGAGGACGCTCGCTCTACATAGGCGGTGGGTCGGCAGTTTGACTCTATACCCAGTCGTCTTTTCGTTCGAGTATGTGAAATTGGAACCCCCATTTCAACGCCAACCGAACAACTTTCAGCTTTCTAATGATTTGGAAGTATCAGTAGCTGGGTGATCATTCGTGCGAGCTTGTTACTTGGATATTCCAGAATAGATTGTTGTAACCAAGCTAGTTTGTGTTTAATTGACTATTCGGTTTCGTCAATTTTATCACTGTGAATACGTCAATTGTCAGTGCACCTCTATTCATTAATCGAAGGTGAAGTTCGCTTGGATGCTGTGTGGGCATTCGACTACTTTTTCCAAAACATTAGTCAACATACCACTTACTGTAGCTTGGGACTGTGAGTAGCTAGAGAACCACAAAAGCTCTGTGCCTGAAATGTCCAATAACACAGAAAGCCGCTCTCCATTGCCGTCACAGATTCAGGTGAAGTGATAAGCGTTTCAGTAGGCCTGTTAACGGGCTAGAATTTCCGAAACTCGACCCAGAGTAGCGAGTTACTTTGATGCGAAGTAAGTGAACATAGACCAGTCATGTTGCAGTTACTTTACTTCCATTTTGCGCGGAGTATCACACTAGTGTTCCATGAACCTAGTCACGAACTAGGGATGTCACGAACCTCAAGACAGTTGATGCCAGTAAAATACACTGTTCAACATGGCATGGTGTGTGGAGTTTAGTGTGGATTATAAACAATGGAGTTGATTTTTACTTCCAAAGTGGCTAATGATATTCACAGAGGTGAACAGAAGTCACTGCATGATAGCGCGATGAATCGCTCGGTACCCATACCACACAAGCCGAATTCAACCAGTAGCGTTAGTTCAGCAACTAGAGACAGCATCGTTTTCGTGGAGTCGTTTGAATGACCTGTGTCTACCACGAACGTTTGTCAATTGATTTTCTAGACTCGCTTGTAATCGCGGGGATATGCGAATTAATTCTGCCACATATTTGTTGGGTTACAGTCGAGTTGTTGGCTGTTTCATTTCAACGAATGAGGATTTATATAAAGGGGTCTATAGAAGAAAACCACTAGAGAGAGATTCAGCTAGGTTCCAGGGGAGCCTCCCTTTACAATCAGATCGGTATGCAGATGTGCGTGTAAGTCGAGTTTAGTGCAACTGAAGTTCGAGCAGAACATAAGTTTGACGGAAACTCGGAGGCTGAGGTTAGATCATGATCCCCAAGAAGAGTGAAACCGGTCTTGGGCTGTCGAAGAGAATTCAGCAACCTTATTAGCAGTGTATTACGTCTGTATGGCTTCCTGTTTTGCCTGTGAGCAGCATGAAACACCTCCGTAATTCATGTAATTAGTTTATATGAAGTTAAATACCCGCATTACACAAGTAACTGTCAAATATAAGGAGGGAAAACTAGTAGAATGCTACAGTAAATGTAGGACAATCTTAGTAGTACTGTTTGATGTAGTTCTTGAAAACTTGGTTGTAGTGTAATCCAGCGAATAAAAACATAGTGGTCCACGCATCAATTTAATCGGTAGCTGGTCTTCGTTATGTTATTTGAATTTGAATTCGTTGGAATGATCAAAGTGCCTGTGTTCTGTGAAACTCACTGAGAGCCCACGAGGCAAGGTAACACCCATTGTTCAAAGCCGACTTGGAGGTCTCTCAGCAGTAAAAAGTAGATGGTTTACCTACGTATCATCCAGAAACTGAGTGGGAATAATACTACATGACTTGCACTCATTGTTACACTTATATGTGTGCCTTTCCGGTAGACCAGATGGCAGTTACTATGCCGCAAACGACTGCCGAAGAGCCTGTCTCACTGTTCGTATTGTGATTTTAGTTGTTTAACACCGAACGAACATTCAACGTTTTAAACTTTATTACACCCAACAGTGTTGTATGTTTTTCGAGTTTGCAAAGCAAACTGGCTAGTTTGAACGTACTCATTGATTTCAAATAGCCGGGATCGGAGCCATCCGTGGTATTACACGGCTCCACGCCATCGGATTTATCTTCCCTCCCCTGTTCTGAGGAGAGACGTAAAATGATTTGTAGGTTCAGAGCGGAATGTCCACAATTTACTGAGGTTTCAACATGCTGAAAATGCTGGCAACTGAGCGCTAGCGGTAATCTGTAACTGCCCTTGTTTGTGCAGCGGAAGATGAAAGGGTAAACCGGGGTAGGTTGCAGATATGATATGGTTACAAAAGCATGAATTCACGTATAGATATGGTACTCAGTAAATGGGATTATTCGAAGATGTTCTGTGAACATAACGGGGAAGTCATCCTCCTCTTTCGAAAGCTCGGTTCGCAGACGGCTTATTTACTGGATTGTAAAATGTAATGAGCATAACTGCAGACCTCACCACCGGTACCGTTTTATGGCGATTAAACCGCCCCAGGTAACAAATCTACTTGGTTTTGTAAATTTTGGCTGACGGTCATAAGAGTGAGTTGCTAAATGCCAAATACAATCCAGCGTAACAAATTTTTATTTCTAGTAAGTAGGCGGATGAAATCCAGTGGCTAAATTCATGACGCCGCTAGTATCCATATCTATTTTTCGAATGAACTGAGGCGATGAGAAAAATGACAAATTTCATACGGTATTTCCAGCTTGACGTGCACAAAGGTGTTCTATGAACTCTCCCTCCGGTCCAATCAGGTCCCTTCATGAGGACGTGGACCAGTAAAGACGTGCACTCCGTCAGGGAGTAATTCGGAGTCACTGACATCTTCATTGTTGACCCTGATCAAGAACGTAGACTCCAATGCTGCACAATGGCCATTGCCTGATCTCAGAAATGGTTAGTGTAATTTCCACTGGTACTCCGTTCTTTCATTTGTCCGGATTTGCGAGTTGACCGTCATAAAAACCAGTGTTTTGTATTACACAGTCTACTTAGGCCCTTCCATGAGGTAATTTGATAATGAAATTAATCTAATTAATCCGTCGGTAAATTGAAATTAAATAATGGATGCAAGTTATGTTTTTACGACGCCCCGACAATGAATGAGAACCAAGTCCTTCCTCATGAAGTGACCAGTTTCTGACCCGGCTCATTATCGCATGTTGTGAATCGGTTTAACTGCTTCACTTAAGCGGGATGTGAATGTTTGTTCAACTAACCCAACCGTCGAATCATCAACAATACAATTTGAAGTGTCAACAGTCGCTTTGCTATAAAAAGTGGCTTGTCATTACAATCAAAGGCCGTTGTTAACCAAAGTTGGGAAGTTTTCAACGGGACTGTGAAGTTTACTCGGTGTTGTCGGACGATTTCTTGACTAGATTCAGGAGGATCCCTGATGATTTTGGGTTGCTAAATTTCAGTACATATGCGCAATCAGATCGATTATCTCAGTTATTTACAGATCTTCACAAAGGGTGTGATGGCTAAAAAGTGGTAACCAAAAAATTTATCCGGTTGATTCGAAGACGATCATAGTCATATACAAGAAAACCTTCCTGACCGTGCGGTGACTGTATGATTGACAGCTACACAGTTTTTTAGTTGGGAGCAAATGACCTATACTAGACTTGTGCAGCTAGCTTATCCTTTTTGGAAGCAAATTTAAAACATTTGCTGATGAAATTAACAAGCTAGTTATTTTGAGCAGGTTTTTTTGATCGAAAGTCAGACCCAGATAGCTTGACTGGACCGATCCACATTCTCTAACGCATAAACTCCAACAAGAGTTGAACACCTGGTGTAGCTTTTTGGTCAGCAATTTGCCAGCTGCATGATTACTCATGAAGGTAACTCACGGTTTCATAAAGGGAACTACTCATAAGGATGCTGAAAATATACTGTGATCTCGAATATCGTGCCAACTGAAACATGAGGCCGCCTGCGTGCACCGCGTTCAGTTGAAGAATATCATGAACGAGAGATTCAATTGAGTCTCTCGTGAAAACCAAATCGATTTGCAAATGAGTGTATTTCTCGAGAACTCATGGTTTCGCTTGCCGTTCATCTCAGTATCGACAAGTCTGTAACGTATTATTTATTTCCTGATTACCAAACTCTTTCATTAGTCCACTGGTTACCTTTTGGTAACTGAGTACATCATTTGCCTTGAGAATAAAGATGAAGTAAACTGCCTGCATACTAATGAGGTTTTAATTAAAGACCCAGCTAAATCTGTCGTCTCACATTCCTCAGCTAAACATGCTGCAAAAGGTCGCCTCCTATCTCAGCTGGTGCAATATCCGAGAGAATAATCCGTGAAATCTTAGATATTGTACCAACTGAGCTACCAAAATGAGGTAGTCTTTACGCAGGACATTAAGTTTTGTAGCATTATAAACGAGAAGTCCCGCTGCGATTTACTTAAAACCCCATCAATGTGCAAGTCAGTGTATTTCGTGAATTCCATAAAAGGAGTTCGAGTAGACAATGGGGATTATGGAAACTCGGGTATTGATCAGCCAAAACAAGTGTGCAACCAGTCATGGACTGTCAAAAAATATTCCGCAACCTTAATGGGTAGCATTCTTTCAAGAAGTTGCTTGTAACTCACAGCCCTGAAAATACCCACATTTACTAAATATCGAACGAAACATCTTGAGGTAGCTAGCTGCCAGATATATTCGTAATGACCGGAAGAATAATGAAGTAATGTGTCTGTACCCGAGGCGACAGAATTTGCTTGATAACCTTGAAATCTAAAAATTTGTGTAAGCGGACCTATTACAATCCCTGGGATCGCGGGGCGTGTAACTGTTACATCTTATTTTTGACAAGAATCCAGACGGGTGTGAAAACAAACAACGAATGTGATGATATGGGGAAAGAAAAAAGATGGTCTCCTGAGGTCAAAAATACTATGGTGGCTCAGCCTCAGTCTACTCGTTGACGGAGATAAATTAACAATTTGCAAATTTTATTTGAACCCAACTTGTGCTCGTTGTAGTGGATCTCGCTCGTATGTTCTCACTACAACTAAAATCTTCTCCGACTAGTACCCGGACTGTCGGACCTCTTGAATAAACTGCAGCCGAGACAAACCTCTTAGAGCGAAATATTCTCGCGTGTTGTCATTGGTCTGTTGTCATGAAAACCCTCATCGATCCACTGACACACGAGTTCACATAAACACAAACGGCCACACAAAATGATGTATGAACACAGCCTTGACAGAACACATATGAATGAGTGCGAACTGGCATGCGTGTGTTGGAACGCTGCGACTATGTATCGGCCACTTTAGACCAGCAGCCTCGAACTTTATGATGGACGACTGGTCTATGGTTTGTTTACAGAAATGAGAGTTGGAGGAATGAAGATAAATGAGCACGGCTAGACAACGGTGCGCGCAGAGCAGATATGAATGTGTGCATAAGTTAGCCGTTCAAACTCCTTGGAGGTGTTTTTACTCGGCACATGAGAAATACATGGAGGGAGGATAATCGAAGAAAGGAAAGTTGTTCACGCTGAGTTACCTTGGTCTCTGTATCTCGACAACACCGGGAAATGTATGCCGTCCATTAGAAACAAAGTGTTTCCTGATCATCCCGAGCAGATTTTAACTTTATCAGTTTTCAATATATGGCACCTGAGTTGCGCATGCAAACGTGGTCAAAGCATATGGTGGCTGCCAGCAACATGCTCAGAAAACAATACTCAATGTCAAAGTGTATCAAGCAACAAGTTTGGTATGTAAATGAAGTACTGCCGGACATTTGTAGCCTCTTTCGAAGATAATGAAAAGTACTGGAAGGATCTACCAGATCGCAGTTTCGCAAACAATTTCTAACCTAAAAAGCAATTTGTTGAAACTGGCGAATAGCTGGTCGCATGCACTTTTATCAGTGACTCAAAATGGAAGTTGATAAGGATTTCGATGCAACTGCCTATAGTTTATGCCCTGGAACGGATGATGTGTCCACAGTTGTGTTGTTAGTTGGGTTTTCGACATGATGCCGAGCAGGTTAGTGAGTAAGACAATAGTTCAATTGCAGATTTCTTCTACAATGACTAGAGACAGTCTAGACGGGAGGACTTGACGTTTGCCCATCTCCAATGAAGATCGGATGATGATGAGTAGCAAGCTATTCAACGGCCCTGAGAAAAGATTCTTATCGTGTTACATTTCAAGTCGTTCAGACTGAAAACATATCTCGTAGAGATCGCACATCTTTTTAACACTTGACACAGCTATTCCGGACGTTAGTTTACACATTGATTAATTGACTGACTGACTCACTGATTGATTGATTGATTGATTGATCTTTACAGTACCTAACAGACATTGTTTAGCCATCTATTTCCGAACAGACCAAGCAGTTTAACATAAGTGTTTAATTTTGTGGTCACACAGAGTTGAAACTGTGTAGCCACACCGAATATTTGGTATTCACATTGAGGTGTTGATGAAATTACTGTTTATTTTGAGATATTGGGCGAATCGGTTCACAAGGTATCTTGGCGTCAACAGGATAAACGAATAAACGAAGATTTTAAGGTAAAACCGGACAAAAAACAAGGACATAAAACCCATTTAAGCTGCGATATTTCTCACAAGCGCGAGGAGACTTAAGCTCTTTTGGTGGCGTCACCTGGTGCATGCTCTCCTTCTTATGTTAAACAAACGATGTTTACAACTGATATTTTCCACGTTCAAGTTACTTTCGTTTGAACAGTCTTTCTCCAGTTATTCATGGGAATTAGTGCCAAGGGCGGAATCATCGGAGTCGAGTTTTGATCCTATTTAGAACTCATCGGTAGTTCACATTTTTGGCAATGTTTGGGTTCGCAGTCCAGACATCATACACGCGCGGTGAGCATGACATCAATATCCAGCTGGCCTACATTAGATGCACACGAGTTATCATATCTGAACAAAAAAACTATTCACACTTGAAGAGTGTAACTAGTTCGTGTAATGCCTTTAACGACGAACCATTAACTGTTCCGGTTCTGTCGATCGACCTATCGTCTTATGAAGACTTCCTACCCAGGTAGCGTCAAGGATGCTTGAAACATGCTGGACCTGGGTGTACGTGGTTTCGGGGTCATGAAGTTTTGCAAGTAGTTTTGCTGAATTAGAAGACAATAGTACTGTGGAAATTATATTGTTTAACACTTCGTGAAATGCTGGGAACTCACAGTGATGATCAGCTCGCCGGGACTTGTTCACTCGGTCCATCGCTCACTATGATAAGAAGTCCAATATAGTCCCTGAATTGGTATAATTCATCCCCCCCCCCCCCAACCGTTGGCGCATTGGCCGTGTTCTCATACTTGCTCAAGTCATTTCCCATTAGGAACTAGAAACGACGAAATCCGGTGACAATGCTAGCAAAAAACAAAACAAATTCTGGCGGGATTACTTGGAACGCTGCAATTTTCCAACGTACCATTCAATTATATAATGGAGCTTTTCCCTTAAATGAGAAGGCTCAAATTCGGAGCTGCCGGTGGATGGACTACCACAGAAGGATACGGTTTCCGTGATAGGCCCATGATGAGTAAAGGGCTAGACGACCTTTCGAGTGTCGTTATTTTAACTTCACCGATTCCATTTAATTATCATGCTTCCTACAAAAGTAAACATCTGTGAAAGTTACTAAGCTTCCTCGCTGGCTATGAGCTGGCTATGAGAGGGCTGATACGAATGATGAATGACTGAAGCTAAAAAGGTGGCTGGTGGCTTACTGTGTTTCAAACGATGAATACCAGAAAGAGGAGGTTTATCACCTCAATTACAAGGCTCGTTCAAAAGCACACTTACCTTTAACAGATAGAGCAAGAGGGCTTACTGTCAAACGATGAATACCAGAAAGAGGAGGTTTATCACCTCAATTACAAGGCTCGTTCAAAAGCACACTTACCTTTAACAGATAGAGCAAGAGGTTTCTACACGATTATCTTCGGAGCCTGTCTTCCGATGCAAGCAAGCAGTAATTGGGCTAGGTAACCCGATTCAAAAGGATACCGAAAAGAAAATTAATTGTGTATGAAGATGTACTATAAGTTGCCGCAAGCCATCGAGCACTAGGAGTACCAGAGACAGTGAGTTATGCTGCTTGAAATTTCTCTGTCTGTCTCTGAAACCTCGGGAGTCAAAATGCTCCCGGGACGTTCGCTCCTAGACACTGACCATGCTCTGGTTCATATACTCTTTAAATGCAAACGATTTTAAATAACCTAATTAGGTCTATCTCATGGTTTGGTACGCGGTTCACACCAGCAAAATGTAAAGTGCTGGTTGAAGTCTGGGTTGGATCAAAACCGAACCCCACGCTCTCGTACAAACCAGTCAATTTGGTAGATAAATTTGTCTGCAAGGTCAGTGTGTAACTTCTGGTGGACTGGATGAAAATGGGAGTATTTCCCGAATCGGGAAAGCCAGGGCAGCTTTTGCCAACTTCCGACACCTATAACGCCGACCTGAAGTGAGAGTTTATACTCCTACGGTGCGGTCCGAACTGCTTTATGGATTAGAAACGTGACCTCTACGCACTAAGATCATGTTAAAGATGTCATTGTTTGACGATCAGTTCCTCCGGAACATTGTCTGGCAGGAACACTAGATTAGTAGTGCTGCGGTACCCCAGATGGTCTCAGGAAGTGGGAACTTCCCGCGATGGATAAGGTTTTCACGCCACGTATGTTACATCGAGTAGGATATGTACCCCCCATGCCAGAAGACCATCTGCCATTCGCACAGCCGTGTGCTGGGTGCAAGTGTCCGAGAGTTAGATAATTTATGACCTGGCTACAAAGTATGGATAGACTAACCAGTAAAATTAGTTGGGTCAATAACTGGTGCCTATCTGGATGGAGACTCCGGACCTCAACTCAATAATGGTTCGTGACACCGGCAGAAATGACCCAG